GTTGTCAAAATGTCATGTTGTCACACTTTTTCAGAGAAGTTAAATGACCTGGTAGCACATGGTAGCATGGTAGCACCTTCGGTTCTTTAAAAATAATTCATAACTACCTTCCTCCTGTGTTGTTGTCAAAATGTCATGTTGTCACACTTTTTCAGAGAAGTTAAATGACCTGGTAGCACATGGTAGCATGGTAGCACCTTCGGTTCTTTAAAAATAATTCATAACTACCTTCCTCCTGTGTTGTTGTCAAAATGTCATGTTGTCACACTTTTTCAGAGAAGTTAAATGACCTGGTAGCACATGGTAGCATGGTAGCACCTTCGGTTCTTTAAAAATAATTCATAACTACTTCCTCCTGTGTTGTTGTCAAATGTCATGTTGTCACACTTTTTCAGAGAAGTTAAATGACCTGGTAGCACATGGTAGCATGGTAGCACCTTCGGTTCTTCAAAAATAATTCATAACTACCTTCCTCCTGTGTTGTTGTCAAAATGTCATGTTGTCACACTTTTTCAGAGAAGTTAAATGACCTGGTAGCACATGGTAGCATGGTAGCACCTTCGGTTCTTTAAAATAATTAATTATTGAATAACTAAAAACCATGAGACTTTGTCTCCGGACTCTTTGAGTCACTTCACGATAAAATAAGTGATAACAAATTTTTATTTTTATCATAAATGAATACCCCAAAAGCTCAAAATTTACCACGAATCATAACAAGGGAGGAAATGATAAAAATGATGCAAGAACATGTTAAAAATAACAAACCACTAAAATTGAGAAAATGTGGTTATGCGGTAATGATGGAAAGAGAGATGTTGTCGAAGAGGAATAAAAATTAAATTTGGATAGAGTTTAAAAATTCATCTTTATTAAATTCATCTCTTCCAATCAATTTATTTATTCTATTAAATTCTTTTATTTTTGCTTCACTCAGTTTAAGGATTGAACGGTAAGTTTCTAATTTTTCGATTATTTCTTTATCGTTTTCAACCCCACCACATTGCGGCTTCTTTTTGTAATAGCATATTTTTGATTTAATATTAATTAAAAAATATATTTCATCACTTATATTCTAATTTTTATTTAATCATAAATGAAACCAATTTTAAAAATAAATGAAACAGAGGAGGAAGAAAGTGAAAATGTTCAACAAAAAATAAACGTTGTTAAACCCATCACTGAAATAAAAATTTTTTCATCTGTTGAAGAATTTAATGACTATTATGCTAACAATAAAAAATTATTTGAAGAATTGACAACGTGTAAATTGAATAAAATGTTTAAAGTTGAGGACAGAGTCCAAGACCCAGAGGGTCATGGATTCAAAATTTCAAAAATAAAAGGAGTGGTTAGTTTGAAATCTATTCCTCAATCAAGAATCACCTCATTAATGAAAATAGATGATTTAACAAAAAGAATAGAAATTATTGAAGAGCGAATGAATCAAATTATTGATTTCATAAATTCAAATAATCATTAGTTTTTTAAAGTTTATTTTTTTATTTCATTATGGTAGTTTATTTTTCATTCATGAAAATAATTATATCTAATTTCTTTTACTCTCTCATACATACTAGATTTAAAGAATTCAGAACTTTTACCATAATCTCCTAAATGTTTTCTTATCCCTAACGTGTGCCAGTTATTATATGAAACTGAATAAACTTTATCTTTATCTTTACATCTTTCATCACTTCCAATATATTTATATCTCAGTTTTGATTTAGCATTTTCATAATCATTAACGTTTAATAATTCACAGTCTTCCTTTTTAAATTGATGTTTAAGATATTCAGGATTTAATACTCTACGTTTATATGCTCCTAACTTAGTTCTAAAGGTTTTTCTACAAAATTTAGGAATTCCATCCTCTTTAATGTCATCAATGATTTCCATTTCATTATTTTCCATTTCTTCTTCTCGTTTATGAGGTCTTTGATTATGACTCCATTGATTCCATGAAATTAAATATTCTTTATCATTATATTTATACCTCATTAGCTTATTTTGGCTTTCATATTCATTTAATAATTCACAATCTTCATTTTTAAATTGAAGTTTAACCCATTCAGGATTTAAACAATGTTTAATTAATCGCGGAATATCTGACATCATCTATATATAGCTTCTTTTATAAAAGATAAAATAATAAATTATTTTAAAATTAATGTTAATTTTTTAATGATTTATAAATAAATATATTTTAATGCATCGTCTATATATAGATGTAACAAAAAAAGTCACACAACCCGCACTCATCTACTACTTTTCAAATATCCCAAGAGGTCTCTTGAAAATCATGTAGTTCCTCAAGAAACGATCTTGCTCAAGATGCATGTATCATAAATCGAAACAAAACATCACATTTATAATATTCAAGATTAGAATGTCTATTAAATGCTAACAAATACGAGCAAAATCTCATCTATCGACTGGGTTATTAATATGAAGCAGTTTTTTTGTCTAAATCTAATATAAAAATGAATAAAAACTTTATTTTTACTCTTTTCATTCAAGTATTTTACTAATATAGATCATGCTTTGTCAATGCTTAGTACTATTTTTTTAGAACAAATGGAAATTTTCTTATTGCAATAATTTCCTCAAATTTTAGTAACTTTTTTTATACTCAAGTTATTTGAATATGTATCATAAGGTACGTCAAAACTCAAAATTACGAGGAATTCTGCCGTTGCATTTTCAAGATGCAAAAAATCGATTTTTAATATGGGGTTTTGGCAAACGCAATCTTGATGTTGTCTCCATGTATGGTTACTGTTGCAATATAATTAAAATTAACGAAGTTGAATTTTAATTGCATAATTCTGGAGAATAACTGAGAATACAACTAAGTATATTATTCAGGATAGTTGCCAATTGGAGTAATAGATTAGGCTACACCAATCTTTTCTTTTATTTATGGCACAATGAGCAGAAAGGAAGTGATCAGTAACCCTAGGTGAAAAGAAGGTTGTCTCGAAAATTGAATTGAAAATAATCGTTGGTGTCTCTTCCTTCTTTCTAATGCCACGTTGCCAACGCTTCCATCTTAAGCGCCTCACAGCTCCACACCACTGGCTTCTTGCTAAGTCTGCTGGTAAGTTTGCTTCCCACCCATCCACAGGTCCACACAAACTTCGTGAATGCCTTCCAATCAACATCTTCCTTCGTGACCGCCTTAAATACGCTCTTACAGCTAAGGAAGCCGTTGCTATCGTCAAGCGCCGTCTTGTTAAGGTCGATGGCAAGGTCCGCACAAACTATCGTTATCCAACAGGTTTGATGGACGTCATCGAGCTCGGCAAGTCCAACGAACTCTTCCGTATCATCTACGACTGCAAGGGCCGTTTCTGCGTCCACCACATCGAAGCTAAGGAAGCCTCCTTCAAGCTTCTCCGTGTCAACCAGTTCAAGATTGGTGCCAAGGGTATCCCACACGTTGTCACACACGATGGCCGTACAATCTCCTATGTCGACCCATCCGTTCGTGTCCATGATGCTCTCAAGTTCAACATCAAGACAGGCGAAGTCGAATCCGTCATCAAGTTCAAGGTTGGTGATGTTGCCATGGTTACAGCTGGTGGTAACGTCGGCCGTGTCGGAACAATCCAGAAGATCGAGAAGCAGATGGCTTCCTTCGATATCGTCCACCTTAAGGATACATCTGGCGCTGTCTTCGCTACACGTATCATGAACGTTTTCGTCATCGGTGAGAACGAGCACCCACTTATCAGCCTTCCAGCTCGTGAGGGTGTCCGCCCATCCATCCTTGAGGGAATCAACCAGGAATAAACTATATTAAACACTTACGAACGAGTTTAGACCACTTGTTCTTATTCATATTAATTTTTTTCATTTACAAGCGGACAATATTAAGAACAACACACACACTTTTTACATAATGAATCTAAAATAAATTAGCACCCTATATTTATACTTTTTATGACTTAAAATTATTTCTGGTTCAAATTCAGGATTTGTTTCACATGTTTAGAAACTATTGTAAATATCTAGAATACAATCAATAATATCATGATTTTATTCACAGATGAGTTCAAGATTAATATTGTGATTTGCATTTCCTCAATAAATATATATCAAATGTGTATTAAACCCATACATTTAGACCTATTATCATAATCATGTTATCATTCAGTGACTATTGCTACAGAAAAAGCAATATTAGATCTGTATCTCTTAATCAAACGGAAGTTAAGCTAAGATATTTGAGGCAATATCATCTGATAGTATGAATAATACTATACCAGAATGATTAATCAATCTGTTGTTTCAATATCGTTTTAAATTTATGCCAAAATTGTACCTTAGTTATCATTGGTAAATACGTAATGTTGATACTATAGTAATATTTCGAAAAAAATGAAGATGGAGAAACCTCTCTTCATACTGCAGCATGGAACTATAGTAAAGAAACTGCCGTATTTCTTATGTCTCATGGTGCGAAATAATAATATTCTTGTATAAGATATATTTTTCTGGTGTTTTCGAAGATGGAGTTCAATAGAAATAAAAAAATAATTAAGTTTTTCCCCAATGATTCTATTCATTTCTATGAATTTTTAGTTTTGTGAATCTTTGATGATTCTTTCATACTTACAACAATCCACCATGTCTATTGTCAAGATATTCCCAATCATTCTATATATTTTTGAGAATTGGATAAATTTCTGCAATTCACCTATCTTGAGAATGATTTATGGAGTCTAAACTTCCATTTTCCCACCAAGATACATTTACTCTCAATCAGTATTAACAATCTTTTTATATCCAAGTGTTCATCTGAGCACATAATGCTATTGTAGATTTCCTCAAACTGATTTAAGATGAAGTGATTTCAGAATACTAAACATATTCTTCAAAAGATCAATTTTTGTCAATCTGTTGATAATAATCACAGATTGAAATTACACTATCTTTGAAAGAATAAATCGTTATTTTTAATAGTTTAAACAAATACAGTTTATTAAAAAAAAAATTTAAAACGTAGTAGCAAAAGATCCTTCAATTTCGATATACCTAATCCTGAAAACCGTTGTACCTGGAGATGGAGAAATAACTAACTTATGAAATCCGAAATTTTTGCCAAAATCTTTTTCCATTTGATCATAACTACATTTCTTATCATCACCAAGATCATTGTGTTGCTTGAGTTCTGAATTTACTGCTTTTATATCAGCAAAAACAGCATTTTCTTTGATTTCGAGTTTAATTTCTTTTTTATCATCAATTTTTACAAAAATATGCTTAGGAACTGGTTGTAATCTGTTGTTCGTATTAGTTGTTGGACAAATTCGCGATTTTACGTTCATATCAATGAAAATTTTTTCAGGAATGAACATTGTCGAAGCTCCTAGGTCAATAACTAACCCACTTGACTCTTTAGATTGTTCTGGTATAGCGATAAAAGGCTTTTCATCATCAACAAAAGCATTTGCTTCATTAAAGCAGTCTAACTTGATTTCTGGCATTCTTTTTGCATTGAAGAACCCAAAGGATGAATAGTCAATGTATTCTTCTGATAATCCACCGAGTGTTTGAAGGAATTTAAATAATTCTATTTTAGGAACTGAATTTAACTCAGGACTCTTAATACTTGATAGCCATGCGAATACTGGCCATCTTGAGATAGGTTTTGTATTGGTTTTATTGGGACATTCCTCAAATTTCTTCGAATTATTTCGAATTATTTGAAAATAATCTTTCAAAATCGGCCTCATTTCATTAACAGGTATATAATCGCATTGGTACTCTGTTATATAGTATCTTACCTCTTTGTTTTGTAAATCAATGAGTTCTTTGTTGTAAAGATCTTCAATTTTATGAATTGCTTTGTTTTTCTCCGTCAAATTTAATAAAATAAGTTCTTCTATTTTAGAACCTTTCTGATATGTATGATCTTTATCGTCTTTTCTGATTTCTTTTGAATGTTTAAATTCATATGTTGCTTTATCAAGGTATTTCAGTATTTTTGGCGTAGTCAAGTCGTTTTTAGCCTTAAGTTGTATTAAAGTAGAGGAAAAAATCTTGGGAAACTGAGAAATTGAAATCAAATCGTCAATTTTTTGATACGTTGAATAAAAATGAGCAATTTTCGGTGCAAAAATTCTAACTATATCATCTAGATAACATGGTTCTGTAAAACGCTCCAAAAATTCACTTAAATCTGACCAATCAAACAAATAATCGAGAATATCTTGAATAAATTGTAGTGTAAGTTCTTTAAATTGTTCAAATTTATAATAACTTGTAATGTATAGAAGACTGTGCACATTATTTCGCGAAATTTTAAATTTATTTAAATAAATTGCATCCATTATTACTTGGAATGTGTTTCTACTAATCTCTAGTATTTCGTATATATTGCTATTATTCTGCTTAAAATCTTCTCGAAATTTTTTAGAATATTTTGCTAAAAAAATTTTGTGTGCTCGATATTGCCCGAATTCTGTTTGTATAGTAACATCTGTCAGAATATCTCTCACAGATTGATGAGGGCAAGGAATACGAATCATCTTAAAAAATCAAATTATGACAAAAAAAATATGACAACTGTTTTTTTACATGTAATTTCAGATGTTTATATTCTTTGTTTTAGGAATTATAAGATGTATATCATTAGCTTTGTGAAAATGTTCTAGAGGAACTTTTTCGAATCAAAAGATTGCGAGAAGTGCTCCCACTCCCAATATTAGCAGCTTAGCTTATCTGCTCATTCTGGAAAACGCCCAGGCCTAGTTATGCATATATCTATAAATATTGTTCGCATCTCTTTTATCGAATTCAAATTCTAAATTAGATTTTTGAAAATCATATATAATATTCGCTTTCATAATTAAGAACGTAACATTTATGTAGCGGTAATGCATGTCTGATTCAATATAATCTGATTGGATTCGAGATCAATTAAATCAAATTCATATTTATGGAATCCTAGTCATTTTAAGTCTTGTAATCTTAATAATAAAATACATTCATGAAAATCATTCTAATTATAAAACAAAATCATTCCTTTGTACAGATTTTAAATTCGAGATTTGAGAATTTTGATCAAAATCTACTACGATTTTGTGGAAATTATCATGTTTATTTTCAATCAGTGTCATGCATACTGTATATTATGGGTTTAAAATCTGCATCAGTATCAATACAATCTGCGATTTCGATACCAAAATATAAATGTGATGCGACCAAATATAGCGTGCTCCACAGAATTATTTTTGCTTTTTTCCTGGAAAATATTATTGAACATCAGATTTTAAATATGAAAAAGTGAGAAAATTTACGTTTTAAGAGTAAATTGAATGAAGCACGTTAATGATGAAATGCAAACTAACTATGGATCTAATATCTATATCAGATACTAATTCTAAAAATCATAAAGAGAAAGCTAAGATCACATTTTTTGTGAGTGGGATCACTTCTAGATTGCGAAACTTTGTTCTTATGATAAAAATAGCAACATTAATTTTTTAAATAGATTACTGTGATATCAAAAATTCATAATTAGATTAATTTCTTGATGAGTATAAATTATGTATTCCAATTTCGATTTCTTATAATCATATAATGTGATATGATTACATATACTGGAAATCAAAGGTAATTATTAGTTCAAACAGTAAAGATTTAAACTTGCATGTTTATAATATAAAAAAATATGAAGTTTGATTAAAAATAATATACACAATTTTGATCTATGCTTCATATTGCTGTAGATCAACATCAATTACAGATTTGTCCTCAATAATGTCTGGTTCTTCTCCAGGGAAAATGCGATTAACCATTTGTAGCCAGATGAACTGTGCGAAGATATAACCAATAAAGAAACCGGCTAAAACATCATCAGGACGATGCTTATAATCGCGAATTCTTGTAGCACCACACCAAATGGCTAAAATAATAAACAAAGATCCGCAAAAGGAACTAATAAGATTGTTTGCATTAATAACTTTCTGAACAAATAGTGCAATGATAACAAATCCTGACATTGCAGTTTGAGAATGCCCTGACGGCCATGATCTGAATTGATCATAAAATTCTCGCTTAGTAAGATTGGGACATGAATCCGGATTATTGATGTCGACATTTTTTCCGCAGATTGCAAATAGATCTGGCCTAGAACGTCCGACATAGTTCTTGAAGAGAGAAACACATAATCCGCTAATACCTTCTGCAGCTATGAACGCCCAAATGAAAGTCCATCCATTGAAATTTGTGATATATTTCGGAAAATATCTTTTTGAAAGTAAAGCTGATATAAATACTATAAAGAATACTGCTGCTAAAACAGCTCCCATTAGAGCAGTTGGTAATGCATTCTTTTCATCCCTTGGAAAACTCGATCCGGAATCATTTTCAGGGACAACGAGTGGTGTTGGTTTCAAAATAAACAATACACCCCATAGTACGCATGAAACAATTGCAATGACTCCGTTGGTTCCATCAATTTTATTCCACCAATTTCGTCTCCTAAGGTGGTCCATTCAAAAAATTGAAGGAGAAAAAAAAGCTTTCAATTAAATTTTTCATGATTGAATGACTAGAATTATGGGAAAAGATATAAGGAGATAAAAAATCTGACGTCACCTTAGTCGTCTAAATAAAGATATCTACTCCTAAATGCAAGCAACATCAGGAATTAATTCTACAGAAATATTTTGGAACTACATTAAATGAATCAAATCAACCAAAAATCAGCAACTAATTGAAATCACTCATTTAGTTGCTCCTCTTACAGAAAATCAAGAATTTTCTCGTTAGGATAGAACCAAATTTTACGACTTTTCATGTGTTAAAGGTCATTTAACTCTACTTGAAACATGTTGATATCACGGCACAGTTAATTGTTTCATGTTTTTGAGATCAAAATTCTCTTCAAAAATCACAAAATTATGTCTTCAACTTTCATTTTTAGGAGGAAATTCTGACATTATGAGCGAATGCTTGAAATATCACAAATCAGATAACAAATGCATAAAATATGTAATTATGTTTCATAACATAGATTTTGTAACATATCTCATGAAGGAGCATGAAATTCCGATCGAAGTCGACTATTGCATAGGATACGATTTTACTCATCAATTCAATTTTCAAAGAAATTATAATGCTTAAAACAATTTGAAGCGATTGGTATTCCAATATATTCATTATGATCAAACAAATGATATCAAAGGATTTATTATTAAAACATGTTATCACCATTTTGTTTGAGAAACAATTTTTTCTGCATTGCATGAAATCGATAAAAAATACCAAAGAACTTCTTTACAGTGCTAAATAAATTGCATTTTTTAACCATTACTATTCGCCCAAAGATGATTTCGGTTTCAAAGATTATTCCGAATACTATTCTTCATTATGATGCAAAATATTCCCATCATGATATTAATATTGATTTATTGTTTATTAATGAATGTTCTATCATCAACGAACAAGACAATGAGAGAAAGACTGCTCTTCATTATGCAGCGATTAATGGTAATATGAAAAATTGGATCATTCTAGATTGGAAAAAAGTAAAAAAGACGATCAAAATTCTCTCAATTTTCCACTTTTTTATTTTATTTTATTTTATTTTTGGGTTTTCCTACAAGTGCAAAAAATGCGCAAAAACGATTATTTTACATTCAAACTGCGCATTATTTGTGTGTTTAAAAATCTATCCGAGTAAAGTAGTCAAAAGATGTAAGCATTTTTTCTTTAATATATTATACATATGCAATTGTGGCTATACTTTATTAATGGTTTTGATTATTTATAATAGTCAACTCCAAACTTTTTCAAATGCGCAAAATATGCACAGATTCAATTTTAAATAATCGTTTTTGCGCATTTTTTGCACCCCATGTAAAACCCTTATTTTTTTATTTTTTTTGCAATGATTCGGCATGTGTTTTTCTATTGCAGGCTTTTCATTCTGGTGCTCCAAGCGAAGCGCAGGAGCCCCAGAATGAAAAGCCTATCTTTTTAAAGCCAATAAACTAACTTTTATCAATAAGGATGGTAATATTAAAGCACTTTTATATTGATATTTGGTGATATAATTTTTAATATTAAAAAAGAATTATTTTAGGAAAAAAGGTGGAAAATTGAGAGAATTTTGATCGTCTTTTTAACTTTTTTCCACTCTAAAATAACCCGAAAAATGTAGTGTATTTACAATAGCCATTTAGATTTAGAAATAAGTGATAGTGAAGAGAAGACACCATTACATTATACAGTAATAAGGAGTGATGAGAATACTCTAAAGTACTTTGGATAGAAATGTAGTTCAAGCCTCTTATTTCACGTTATCTTAATTAAGATGCTTAAGACTGCACTTACGCTCATCTGAATTTAATTATGATAAAATTTTGAATAAGATCGAAAAAAAAATCAACTTCACATTAACAAAACATCTGTCTATTACCAATTTCCAGAAAATGAACCAATAGAATGGAAGAAAGTTATTGTTTGGCTATTTAACAACTTATATGTTAGGAAACCAAATATGTTTGAGAGTGATTTCGAAATTGCATACATACAATCATTAAATATCATTGCTCCAGATAATTTAGTTTACAATGATGATCAACAAATTAAATTCACATTAAATTTATTTCTAATTATAAGTGAAAAATAAATTTATTGATTTTAACTTATTTTTGTAATCTCAATTAGAGTTTAATAATATCCTATAAATATCCTTTCTTTGTTGAATCATAAATTTCAGCAATTTAATTTATAAAATTAATTATGATTCAAAGCTTATTATTGCCCAAAACATATATATAATCAATATTGCCGAAACATGTATACGATCAATATTGCCGAAACTATCTATATATTTGAAATAGTGCAATTGCGATTTTTTTCTACAAAACAGATAAAAAAGAGTAAAAACAAACCGAATATATATATATACTTGGTATCAAAAAATATTAGTTTTAAGAATTATTCGCTTTTACATCATTTTACTATGGTTTCTCAATAAAGCCATTAGACATCAAATTAGTATCTATTTTATGGAATGAATAAACATTTTTCAGCACCATGTTCAACTAAGAATTTGACAACATCATTTGAATTTTGCTTAATAGCAAGAGAAAGTGGACATTTGTAATATCAAAATATATTTCATTAAAACTTGATTGATATTCAATGAAATAGAATTCCATATAATAATGATATATGTTAAATGAAAAAGAATGTTATATAATGATGATTGATTTGAAATGAAAGAGAATTCCATATAATTATGAATGATATCAAATGAAAGATAATTTCATATAATACTGATTAATATTAAATGAAAGAGAATTCTATATAATTATGATTGATATGAAATGAAAGAGAGTAAGTTTAATATTGACATCAGCACCATTATCAACTAAGAATTTGACAATGTCAATTGAACTTTTCTGAATTGCAATAGAAAGCGGACATTCAATATTTCAAAATATACTTTATAAAATAATGATAGATATGAAATGAAAGGGAACTTCATATAATTATGAATGATATGAAATGAAAGGGAATGTGATATAATTATGAGTGATATGAAATGAAAGAGAATTAAATATAATAATAATTGATATGAAATGAAAGAGAATTCCATATAATTATGAATGACATCAAATGAAAGATAATTTCATATAATAATGATTAATATTAAATGAAAGAGAATTCTATATAATTATGATTGATATGAAATGAAAGAGAGTAAGTTTAATATTGACATCAGCACCATTATCAACTAAGAATTTGACAATGTCAATTGAACTTTTCTGAATTGCAATAGAAAGCGGACATTCAATATTTCAAAATATACTTTATAAAATAATGATAGATATGAAATGAAAGGGAACTTCATATAATTATGAATGATATGAAATGAAAGAGAATTCCATATAATTATGAATGACATCAAATGAAAGATAATTTCATATAATAATGATTAATATTAAATGAAAGAGAATTCTATATAATTATGATTGATATGAAATGAAAGAGAGTAAGTTTAATATTGACATCAGCACCATGTTCAACTAAGAATTTGACAACATCAATTGAATTTTGCTTAATAGCAAGAGAAAGTGGACATTTGTAATATCAAAATATATTTCATTAAAACTTGATTGATATTAAATGAAATAGAATTCCATATAATAATGATATATGGTAAATGAAAGAGAATTCTATATAAATATGATATTTATGAAATGAAAAAGGATTTTATGTAACAATGATTAATATTAAATGAAAGAGAATTCTATATATAATTATGAGTGATATGAAATGAAAGAGAATTCCATATAATTATGAATGATATCAATGAAAGATAATTTCATATAATAATGATTAATATTAAATGAAAGAGAATATCATCTAATTATGATTGATATGAAATGAAAGAGAGTAAGTATAGTATTGACATCAGCACCATGTTCAACTAAGAATTTGACAACATCAATTGAATTTTGCTTAATAGCAAGAGAAAGTGGACATTTGTAATATCAAAATATATTTCATTAAAACTTGATTGATATTAAATGAAAAAGAATTCCATCTGATAATGAGTGATATCAAATGAAAAAGAATGCAATATAATTATGATATACATTAAATGAAAAAGAACTTCATATAATAATGATTAATATTAAATAAAAGAGAATTCGATATAATTATGATTGATATGAAATGAAAGAGAATTAAATATAATAATAATTGATATGAAATGAAAGAGAATTCCATATAATTATGAATGACATCAAATGAAAGATAATTTCATATAATAATGATTAATATTAAATGAAAGAGAATTCTATATAATTATGATTGATATGAAATGAAAGAGAGTAAGTTTAATATTGACATCAGCACCATGTTCAACTAAGAATTTGACAACATCAATTGAATTTTGCTTTATTGCAATAGAAAGTGGACATTTGTAATATCAAAATATATTTCATTAAAACTTGATTGATATTAAATGAAATAGAATTCCATATAATAATGATATATGGTAAATGAAAGAGAATTCTATATAAATATGATATTTATGAAATGAAAAAGGATTTTATGTAACAATGATTAATATTAAATGAAAGAGAATTCTATATAATTATGAGTGATATGAAATGAAAGAGAATTCCATATAATTATGAATGATATCAAATGAAAGATAATTTCATATAATAATGATTAATATTAAATGAAAGAGAATATCATCTAATTATGATTGATATGAAATGAAAGAGAGTAAGTATAGTATTGACATCAGCACCATGTTCAACTAAGAATTTGACAACATCAATTGAATTTTGCTTAATAGCAAGAGAAAGTGGACATTTGTAATATCAAAATATATTTCATTAAAACTTGATTGATATTAAATGAAAAAGAATTCCATCTGATAATGAGTGATATCAAATGAAAAAGAATGCAATATAATTATGATATACATTAAATGAAAAAGAACTTCATATAATAATGATTAATATTAAATAAAGAGAATTCGATATAATTATGATTGATATGAAATGAAAGAGAATTAAATATAATAATAATTGATATGAAATGAAAGAGAATTCCATATAATTATGAATGACATCAAATGAAAGATAATTTCATATAATAATGATTAATATTAAATGAAAGAGAATTCTATATAATTATGATTGATATGAAATGAAAGAGAGTAAGTTTAATATTGACATCAGCACCATGTTCAACTAAGAATTTGACAACATCAATTGAATTTTGCTTTATTGCAATAGAAAGTGGACATTTGTAATATCAAAATATATTTCATTAAAACTTGATTGATATTAAATGAAATAGAATTCCATATAATAATGATATATGGTAAATGAAAGAGAATTCTATATAAATATGATATTTATGAAATGAAAAAGGATTTTATGTAACAATGATTAATATTAAATGAAAGAGAATTCTATATAATTATGATTGATATGAAATGAAAGAGAGTAAGTATAGTATTGACATCAGCACCATGTTCAACTAAGAATTTGACAACATCAATTGAATTTTGCTTTATTGCAATAGAAAGTGGACATTTGTAATATCAAAATATATTTCATTAAAACTTGATTGATATTAAATGAAAAAGAATTCCATCTGATAATGAGTGATATCAAATGAAAAAGAATGCGATATAATTATGAATGATATCAAATGAAAGTGAATTCCATATAATTATGATATACATTAAATGAAAGAGAATTTTATATAATTATGCATGATATCAAATGAAAGATAATTTCATATAATAATGATTAATATTCAATGAAAGAGAATTATATATAATAATGATTAATATGAAATGAAAAAGAATTCCATATAATTATGATATACATTAAATGAAAGAGAATTGCATATAATAATGATTGATTTGAAATGAAAGAGAATTCCATATAATTATGATATACATTAAATGAAAGAGAATTGCATATAATAATGATTGATTTGAAATGAAAGAGAATTCCATATAATTATGATATACATTAAATGAAAGAGAATTGCATATAATAATGATTGATATTAAACGAAAGAGAATTTCATATAATAATGATTGATATTAAACGAAAGAGAATTTCATATAATAATGATTTATATGAAATGAAAGAGAATTCTATATAATACTGATTGATATGAAATTAAAAAGAAAAAGTCTCGTATTGACATCAGCGCCATGTAAGATAAGAATTCTTGCAGCATCTATATTATTATTCATTGATGCAAAACACAAAGCAGTCATTTGATCCGTATCTTAATAATTGAGATCAATTTTGTCATTTGTTTCAAATAAAAATTTGAAAATATCGGAGTTTTGAGACATGCATGCATAGTGCAGAATATTTCTCTTTCGGAAATCAGTTTTATCAGGAAGCTTTTCGTTTCTGAGAATATCTATTGTTTGAGGAAATGCAGCACACCAAGGAACGATGAAGTTTTTCTCTCTATCGAAAAGTGTAAATACTGCTTTCAGGTTTTGATATTTGATAATATCTTCGTAAATTGCTCTTGAGTATATATTCTCTCCATCGAAATCTTTATATGTAAAGAAATTTTGGTCTAAAACAAATTCAAGCATTTCGTTGTTATGTGAGCATACAATATTTCTGAGACATTCTATGTCCATTTGATTTTCCTTTAAACATTCGTTGATAATGTCTGTATTTCTACCAATTAATGAATATCGAAGACAATTTTTTGATATTGTATATTTTTGGTTTGAAATTAAGAAAAAGAAAATATTTACCGATCCAAAATATGCACATGCTTCAATTAATGATATATGGTAAGAATTCTTTTCACTCCAAGGAATTTCCAAAAAATTATCATTTTTTAGGTCTTTTTGAGAAATATATTCCTTAAATCTATCAATTTGATCGTGCATAACAGTAAATTCGATTGAACCCTCCAATGGAAATGCTAACTCAGGAAGTTTCATATAATCAATGTTGATATTCTTAAGTATTTTGATATAATTCTCGTTTGAAGCATAATTATAATGAAGTGCTTTGATAATGATCGTAGAGAGTTGGTTTTTGGTAAGTTGATACTTCGAAATCAAAACGTTTGTGATTATATTGCACATGTCTTCAACAGACTCGTTATATTTTATTAGGAAAAGCTTTTCAAATGCTTCTATAAAGTCCGAATATGGCTTTGCATAGTCAGAACTCATAATTTTATTTTCCAAACTTTTCTTTACTTTTTTTTGACTAATCTGTTTAAGATTTTTCTAGTCTGAATGAATATTTGACATTTAATAAAGTACTTAATATATAGACAAAATATTAAAAAAATATTTCTCATATTGACAGAGTTTGAATTTAAAAAAAAACTCAAATTTTGAAAATTAGCTTTCTGCGACCGAAATCATATAGAAATTATTTAAAAAAATTGATATTCATTTGATGCTCGTTCTTATCGGCGCGAAGTACAGGCCGATATAATTGAGTGAAAAGCGAATTTTAAACGTGCACTTTCATGAATGATAATTTTGCCGCTTCACAACAAATTGGAAAGCTAGTTAACCATTTCTCCCCTAACAATGAAAAATTACTAGCAGATTCAATTGATATTATGAGAAATTATACAAATATTCCAACAATTTTCCAAAAAACAGCGTATCAAACTAAATGGATCAAAAAGCTAAACGAAACAGGCAAGATTCAGGATATCACAAAGCTTCAAAGAGCAATTTCAAAAATATCTAAATCGAGCAAACATCCAGAAATTTTATTCGCATTTTTTGATAATATTATAACAGAAAAAGCCGATGGTGTTCCAAAATTGATATATTCCGAACTAGAACCTACATATAAAACCGAAACGAATGAAATTCCGAGAGATTTTCTATTTGTTTTGCAGGGGTTTGATAGCGATACATTTAAATGGAATCACAAAGCGGATAAATTTATATACACACTACAAGTTCCACAAAATTTTGTTTACATTACTAAGAAAGTTAGTGAAATTGGTTGTATTTTAAGATTTTTACGAACTTTTGAACAAAAAATGAGTAGTTTGATCTTTCAAAATGCGTACAATTATGTTAAAGAACTAATTACTATGCACTGCTCTAACGTTGTATCATTAAATAGCAAAATTGAAAAATTATCAACAATTGAGTTTTTAAAGTTCCTTAAAAATCCACTTATTGACAAACTTAGGGCTGCAGCAATTATATGCAATACAACATTTGGCTTAAAAGGCGGATACTATTACAATAAATTGCATTCTCTTTGTAACCATGGCGATTTAGAGATAAAAACAGTTGCTCAAGAAATGACGAATCTTTCTTTTAAGATGATTGAAGAAATGGTCAGAGAATGGATATCTCGAGGCGAAATCATTGATCAATATGAAGAATTTTTCATTAAAAAGAACCCAGACGTGCATGTTTGCAGTGAATGGTGGGAAAGACAATATTCATTGATAACGGCAGAGGCTCCTCTATGCTTTAACAGTACTCAAGTTCAACAAATTTTTGATACCGGAAAAATTTTAAACTTTTTACGAAGATGGTATCATCTTGTTGATTTAAACGTCGATGAGTCATTAAAACTGAACGAATACATTGACAAATGCTCAGAAAAAGCGGAAAAGATAATTATTGATATTATGCATGAAAAGAAATTAAATCAAAACTTGCATCATATATATTCTTATCTTTTACTTGGCCGTGGTGACTTTGCAAACAGCTTTATGGCAATTGATGATGATGCAAAACATATCCAACTTAATAGAATCGCATATGAAGTTGCAAGACAACCAATAGAAGGATTTGACTTCATTATTAGAGATCAGAGTTGGGCTTTTTCATATTATGTCAATCCACCACTTTCATTGTTATTAAATTCAAAAGTTATGTCTGTTTACAAATCAGTATCATCACGGTTGCTTCATTTGAAGAGAACAGAGTACAAATTACTTCGTTGCAGGGAAGAATTCAAAAACGAAAAAGAATATTGCACTACAGTTTTTCAGATGATCCATTTTATTAACTTTATCTCAGATTTCTTTCACCAGGAAGTTATCCAAAAGAGCTTTGACAAGCTAGAGAAGTCACTATCCAAAGCTAAGAAAATTAGTGAAATGATGGGATACATTGAGAAGCATTGCGCTGAAATTGCTCGCGGATGCTGGGTATCAAACAGTGGCAAGAACTGTTCTACAGCATTAAATAAAGTCTTAGTGTCAATTGAAGCTGTTACAGATACAGATAAAACACTTGAGCAATGTGTTTCAGAGTTCTCTAACGCTATTATTGATTTCAAAGCTCAAGCATTGCAAAGTAAGACAGGAGCTTCGGAGCTTGTTCGTCCTTTATCAAGGATCTTTTCAAATTTCTTGATCGAATAACATTATTTTTTATTATTTTGTTTGCTAAATAAATGTGTTTTTACTTTTCAATTATATTCAATAAATTATATTACCGGAATTTATACTCTCAATGGAAATTCATTCAAACATTATATGTGGTTTCTTTTTTGACGCTGAACCAGCCATCGGCTGATTATTCAATACCTGTTGGATAGTTTAGAACTCATAATATTTGATAGGAAATAAGAGATGAATCGACGAGGAATGTAAACATAAGAAAAATAGAAAATTATAAACGTAAGCTAAAACTAATATGGCTCTTGCGGCTCTCAAACATCGCAGAACAATTAGAAATTTCGATCCAAACTATGTTATTCCAAAGGAACAACTTACTGAAATCGTTAACATGGGCTTAAACTCACCATCTGCGAAGAATCTTCAGAGTATCGACCTTGTTGTCATCACAAACAAGAAAAAGATCAAAGAGTTAAACGATATCTGCTACAGCTGCTTCCCAAAGGAAGTTCAGGCTAACTTTGACATGCGCAAGGGTAAATATGCCGTTTCAAATACAGTTGTTGGCGATGCTCCATGTGTCATTCTCTTAGTTAAGAACGAGCGTGCCGAAAAGTGGGTTCAGGTTGATGCTGGCATGATGCTTATGTCCCTTATTGTTGCAGCACAAGAATTCAAGCTTGAATCATTACCAATGGGCAGTGTCTGCCATGCAAAGGTTGAAGAACATTTCGGCTTAAAGCCAGGCTCACTCCTTGTCGGTTTGGGTCTCGGCAAAGTTAATAAGAAACCAATTGTTGACAATAAGACTATATTATCTAAGGTTCAGTTCGTTCCAGAGTAAAAATCATTTTATTATTTGCTTTTTTTGTTACATATGATACCATTATTTAATTTAGTCAAGGTAAAATTGCAAAATTTCAATGTCTTCAAAAATTATGGACGAATTTCTCAACACATGGTTTTTGAGTAGAGGACATTCGAGAACTAGTGTCATTACAACGAAAAGATCACTTAAATAAAAGTGACATTAATTTCAAAACGTGCATTTAATGTCTAACAATTCAGAAACAGCCGATTGCGTCTATGCATTTGATGAAGGCACAGAAATCACCAGGGAAGATAAAATTCTTGCAGCTTTTGAAGATGTTCTTCTTTCTGACGAATTTGTAGAGAAACAAGATGAATTCATCGCAAAGCACTCAAAGCTCTTCACAGAAGATGGAGATTTACCACCAGAATGCATGAAAATTTATAAGCAGTATGCTGAGTTGATAGAAAAAACTCTTTTAGCAAAGGTTTCAAAATTATTCCCAGATTTTTCATTCGACGAGCTCATTCCTCTTATCAAGAATCATAAAGAAGAAGATATAGCACATGCTGATGTTTTTGAACTTCTTACAGCTACACTTGATTTCAATGAATTTCGTGATTTGATGGTTTCCTACAATAAAGGCCAAAACACTGACCTAGAAATTAAAGTCACCAAGTTTTAGATTTGATATGCAAGTTTTATAGAATATATCAAAAATATTATTATTCCCTTTTTATTTTTAAATTTGGTGTTCATTAAAATATTACATTTGACTTATCAATCAATATCTTGAATTAAAAAAACAATTTCTGATACAAATTATTCTTTTTCAATTATTAAAGACATACATAAAGAATTCATAACTACGTATTCTAGGCTAAGTAAAAACTATTTAAAAAAATATTATTTTGCAATTCTAAGACACCAAGGATACAGAATTGCTTTCATTCATTGAAAATATAGTTACTTCACGAACCAGTCTTTGCCATACAGAATTACCTCTTAGGCTCTTCAGATAGCAAGATATTGATGTCAAACATCACCTAAAGATCGAATATTGTCTCAAAATTGAGACAAAATTATAAAAAAACCTTTTTTTTTCCCAAATATGAGGGTCAATTTAACTTTTCAATTCTCTGGATATTCAACAACACAGAATCTTAAAAATGTTGATTGTAGTGCAACAATTGAAGAAATTAAAAAAGTTCTAATTATTATTAATAAATCTGATGTTCCATTAGGTAAAATCAAATTTATTCATATGGGACGTATCCTGCAAAACTATGATACAGTTGAAGACTTAACAATTGATGAAAAGCAATCAGCCACAATTTTGGTTCTAGGAATTACGCCTCATATTGAACATCCAAAGCCGAAAGTTCCAAAAATTTCACAAGCTCGCCTAGAGTCAACAAAATTTCCAAAAGATCCACAAACTCAGCGAGTGTTACCAGAAATTCCAAAAAAGCGTCAAATTCCTATACTTTATACAAAAATTACAAGAAATTCACGAACTGATCTAGTGTTAATAAATGGTCAATCACAATTAGAGCAGGATCTACTCACACAATTAGAGCAGGATCCATCCCCACAATTAGAGCAAGATCAATCCCCACAATTAGAGCAGGATCTACTCACACAATTAGAACAGGATCAATCCCCACAATTAGAGCAGGATCCATCCCCACAATTAGAGCAGGATCCATCCCCACAATTAGAGCAGGATCCATCCCCACAATTAGAACAGGATCCATCCCCACAATTAGAGCAGGATCCATCCCCACAATTAGAGCAGGATCCATCCCCACAATTAGAGCAGGATCCATCCCCACAATTAGAGCAGGATCCATCCCCACAATTAGAACAGGATCCATCCCCACAATTAGAGCAGGATCTACTCACACAATTAGAGCAGGATCCATCCCCACAATTAGAGCAGGATCCATCCCCACAATTAGAGCAGGATCCATCCCCACAATTAGAACAGGATCCATCCCCACAATTAGAGCAGGATCCATCCCCACAATTAGAGCAGGATCCATCCCCACAATTAGAGCAGGATCCATCCCCACAATTAGAGCAGGATCCATCCCCACAATTAGAGCAGGATCCATCCCCACAATTAGAACAGGATCCATCCCACAATTAGAGCAGGATCCATCCCCACAATTAGAGCAGGATCCATCCCCACAATTAGAGCAGGATCAATCCCCACAATTAGAGCAAGATAACAACGATGTAGATCGAAGTGATGTCCTTGAAAATGTCATATATATTTTTGGCATCTTTTGTTCAATTATTATGATTATAGCATTATCAGCATTCGGAGTATACTGTTTTACAAATAGTATCGCAATTTCTATAGCAGCAGTACTTGCAATAGTCATTCTTTCCTTGGTTTTTATGAACATATATATTCTTTATTGTTAGTAATCAAAGGAAAATCACAATGATTATGCGTTATGAATACAATCAGGTGCTTTATGTTTAAAGAACATTAATAAAGTGTATAGTAATATGAATATACAAAAATTTATGCATTTTATCTATTATTGATTACTATTATAACTTATTTTCATAATTTTAGAGAGTAAATATCCCAATTCTCTCAATTTTAAAGAACCTTAAAATTGAAATCATATTCTTCGCATGTAAACCTTTCATTTCCTTTAAAATTTGAGAGATCAGATGTGCTTTAAATCACAATGAATTTTTATCTAAAACATATGAATAAACACATTTACTTAATGGATCATTGATTTATCTTATACATGATTCAAGAGGGGCCTGGTTTTTCAATGATGTCATGTTTCATGTCCTACAGACAAAATGCCACTTTTTGGCACTTTTTTCCTGGAAATTCCCTGATTGATACAAAAATATCGAGTTCACCATGATTCAATAAATAAAAAATGAAATGTTAAGATGAAAAGGATTATAAATACCCTACTTTCCCAACATTTAGAATAAGGTTATTGCCCTAAAATTCAGTTATAGACACTTAGGAGAGCATTTAAGCCATGATATTTTGGCATATGATAGAGAAACATCTTATAAACATTTTCAGTATGTTTTCCTATAAAATAACGATCTCACATGAAATTACTAAAATATCAAATTTTGATTTTCACTTTAAAGTTGGGAGAATACTCTACAGTGACAGGGTATACAATTTTAACCTTTGTTTTGATTATAAATAAAGTATTGATAGAGATATGAGTTGTACAGAATTATACACGTGTGTTTAATCAAATGTAAGTTGTGCAACAATAATGATTAGCTAGATAGTATATTAAGGAACTGTGATTTATGATCTAATTCAATAAGATGTAAATGATATTCAAATATATTAAATAAATGCGAATGTTCAAGATGTGAAATCAGTTAGTTAATTGTTGTATATAGATATTTTACTGTGATTAATGAATTTTTTAACAATTTAAAATTATCAAATTTCAAAATATGCGCAATGAGATAATTTGAGAGTATTTTGAGAACTGAAGACTTATGATTTAGTGTTTTTGAATAAGCACATCAATATAAAGATAGAAAATAAATTGAGATATAATTTTTTTGAAGGTATTATAAGGGTGGAGGTAGTAGGATAAATTTTTAATGTTCTATACTTTCATGGCAAATAATTAAATAGAAGTAAAACTTTGTTTTAAGAATTGAAAATTTTAAATAAAAAAGGAATGTTAGTAATGCTAATTTATTTGATTCCGGGGGACACCCCGGTTATCAAATATATTTATTAAAATGGAAAATCTCTCACTTTTCGAAAAAATCGAAACTGCAAGGATCTCCGATTCTCGATATGATAATTTATTTGATTCCGGGGGACGCCCCGGTTATCAAATATATTTATTAGAACGGAAAATCTCTCACTTTTCGAAAAAATCGAAACTGCAAGGATCTCCGATTCTCGATATGATAATTTATTTGATTCCGGGGACGCCCCGGTTATCAAATATATTTATTAGAACGGAAAATCTCTCACTTTTCGAAAAAATCGAAACTGCAAGGATCTCCGATTCTCGATATGATAATTTATTTGATTCCGGGGGACGCCCCGGTTATCAAATATATTTATTAGAACGGAAAATCTCTCACTTTTCGAAATTTTTTTTAACAAAAATATGGCATTCTTAAATTATAGTTACATGTTATTTCACAATCATTATCATTAAAAAATTCAATTATTCAAGTTGTTTTGTCCCGACGGTTTTTACGGTTATAAAAATGGTTGCGAACTCAATCCATCAGCAAAATGTCGGTTGGGGTGCCCTTCTTGGCCTCCTGAGTACTCACCAAGATACCCCCAGCTCCCGCAAAACACCTCCCTTAGGTGAGCATTAACTGATGACATGAGTTAACAATTCTACAAAATCATCAAGCATGAAGGTTTATGATTTATAAATCAAAATCTCAGAAACTGCTTGACTTTGCAAGTTGCTGTCTTTACCGGTTACTCTGCTGCAATCTCTTTTCTGATTGCAGGCAGAGTTCTGCATCCTGAGGACTTTGCCTTGCAGATATGCTTGTAATCACTACGTGAGCAACTTGGTGTTGCAAGTTGCTGTCTTTACCGGTTACTCTGCTGCAATCTCTTTTCTGATTGCAGGCAAAGTTCTGCATCCTGAGGACTTTGCCTTGCAGATATGCTTGTAATCACTACGTGAGCAACTTGGTGTTGCAAGTTGCTGTCTTTACCGGTTAGCTTTTTTTGAAGTTTCTTCGCATCTTATATAAGCTCTAGATCAATATTTATCATCAGAATTTGCATCTCATAAAGCACAATATTAATCAAATAGGCAAATTTCATTCGGAGTCTCTCATTAAATGAGAAACTCCGAATGAGATTTGCTCTAAGGTAATGTACTTGTTATGCTTGGCCTAGAAGCAAGGAGGAAACATGTATATGGTTTGTTTATACTGAAGTTATCTGGAATTCTCTCAATTGAGGATTCAAATCCAGATAACAGCAGTATAAGTTAATATTGTTGTGCACCTCAGGTTGTTTATAGGCCCGAGAACGAGAAAAGAATTTATGGTGTGAATTGGCTCGATATATACCTACGCTCTGTAAAAAATACGTTATATTTTCTTTCATATGAGAAAAATGTTTTTCTTTTTTATAATACTATGTGCTTTGTTACTTCATAAATTGTCTATTTTTCTTATTAAAACCTATTTTTTCCGTGTGATTCGGAATCTACGCATTCAAAAAATGCGTTTTCCGCTCTCAGAACGCGAAAATATGAACTACATGACGAGATAAATCGATTTATTATGTTCCTAAATATTCTCATTTTTCAATCTTGCTCAATACTCAAAAATAAGCAGACTCTCAAATAGAGAACATAAAATAACTCATATTTATCATATTAAAATTTTGAAAAAGTCTCCCGAAAAAATCATATTTCGAAAATTTCAAAAAAATAAGTACATTTTTCGCCAAAGAAAAAAGAAAAATGTTTTTTTTTTGAATTTTTGATGATAATATGCACTCCTGACGGTCGCAGTGTCTCATTCCGGGAGACATTGCCTGTGCATGTCTCCCAGAATGGCATACTGTTCCGCATTCATAACTTGAATGCGGAACTTTGACCGACAAGAGTGCATTGTGCACTCTTGTTGGTCTGCATGTGTCATTCCGGGAGACATTGCCTGTGCATGTCTCCCAGAACGAGACAATTTATTGCAATCAGAATACGATTGCAAAACTTTGACCGACAAGAGTGCATTGTGCACTCTTGTTTGTCATCCACTATGATACTTAGAGAAAATACTTTACTTACATTATTTAAAATATTAATTTCCCTATTTAATATTTATTTATTATTTTTTGTGCTTTATATTCCCTATGGCATGTACTGAACTATTTTATAGACTCTACCGAGCTATCTCCACATATAAACATTTGACAATAACACATATATACTCTCTTCATATTCTAGTCTCATGACATATTATTGCAAAAGCTATATTTATACAGCATACCTCATAAAGTCTCATTATATCCCTATCTAAGCGTTCAAAACCTATTTTCCCCACGTAATCTGATTCTTCAGGCTCCGATGATTCGATTTCTGCTGTCAGATCGTGAAAATATGAATCACATAACAAGATAAACACAAATCCAAAATAATAATGTTTTCTTCAAATTGACTCTTCCACGATATTCATATATTTGTTATTAATTCCGTTTTCCCTTACAAATGTATTTAATTTTCTGAATAATACGTATTATAAAATGAATATCTCAAAAACTAAATTAAAAAATTAATACTGGGTAATAACTAGATATATTGTGACTTTTTGAATTCACACACTTTTGGAAAAAATTGAATTTTTCTAAAATGATGTTGTTTGAACATGAACTTAAAGAGTTTTTTTACGAAAATATCAAGTTGGGTAACTTGTGTTTATCTTGTTATGTGATTCATATTTTCACGATCTGACAGCAGAAATCGAATCAGCGGAGCCTGAAGAATCAGATTACGTGGGGAAAATAGGTTTTGAACGCTTAGATAGGGATATAATGAGACTTTATGAGGTATGCTGTATAAATATAGCTTTTGCAATAATATGTCATGAGACTAGAATATGAAGAGAGTATATATGTGTTATTGTCAAATGTTTATATGTGGAGATAGCTCGGTAGAGTCTATAAAATAGTTCAGTACATGCCATAGGGAATATAAAGCACAAAAATAATAAATAAATATTAAATAGGGAAATTAATATTTTAAATAATGTAAGTAAAGTATTTTCTCTAAGTATCATAGTGGATGACAAACAAGAGTGCACAATGCACTCTTGTCGGTCAAAGTTTTGCAATCGTATTCTGATTGCAATAAATTGTCTCGTTCTGGGAGACATGCACAGGCAATGTCTCCCGGAATGACACATGCAGACCAACAAGAGTGCACAATGCACTCTTGTCGGTCAAAGTTCCGCATTCAAGTTATGAATGCGGAACAGTATGCCATTCTGGGAGACATGCACAGGCAATGTCTCCCGGAATGACACATGCAGACCAACAAGAGTGCACAATGCACTCTTGTCGGTCAAAGTTGCATCGTATTCTGATTGCAATAAATTGTCCATTCTGGGAGACATGCACAGGCAATGTCTCCCGGAATGACACATGCAGACCAACAAGAGTGCACAATGCACTCTTGTCGGTCAAAGTTGCATCAATTATGAATGCGGAAAGTATCCATTCTGGGAGACATGCACAGGCAATGTCTCCCGGAATGACACATGCAGACCAACAAGAGTGCACAATGCACTCTTGTCGGTCAAAGTTCCGCATTCAAGTTATGAATGCGGAACAGTATGCCATTCTGGGAGACATGCACAGGCAATGTCTCCCGGAATGACACATGCAGACCAACAAGAGTGCACAATGCACTCTTGTCGGTCAAAGTTTTGCATTCAAGTTGAATGCAAATATGCCATTCTGGGAGACATGCACAGGCAATGTCTCCCGGAATGACACATGCAGACCAACAAGAGTGCACAATGCACTCTTGTCGGTCAAAGTTCATCGTATTCTGATTGCAATAAAGTTGCCATTCTGGGAGACATGCACAGGCAATGTCTCCCGGAATGACACATGCAGACCAACAAGAGTGCACAATGCACTCTTGTCGGTCAAAGTTCCGCATTCAAGTTATGAATGCGGAACAGTATGCCATTCTGGGAGACATGCACAGGCAATGTCTCCCGGAATGACACATGCAGACCAACAAGAGTGCACAATGCACTCTTGTCGGTCAAAGTTCCGCATCGTATTCTGAATGCAAAAATGCCATTCTGGGAGACATGCACAGGCAATGTCTCCCGGAATGACACATGCAGACCAACAAGAGTGCACAATGCACTCTTGTCGGTCAAAGTTCCGCATTCAAGTTATGAATGCGGAAATATGCCATTCTGGGAGACATGCACAGGCAATGTCTCCCGGAATGACACATGCAGACCAACAAGAGTGCACAATGCACTCTTGTCGGTCAAAGTTCCGCATTCAAGTTATGAATGCGGAACAGTATGCCATTCTGGGAGACATGCACAGGCAATGTCTCCCGGAATGACACATGCAGACCAACAAGAGTGAACAATCCGCTTTCTCCTTTGAAATCCAACATTCTAATCACATCTACATTAATAAATTGTTATAAAATACTAATCAAAGATCCAATACAATTCTACTATCTTATTCACACATTACCAATGTTAACACCTCTTATAACTTAAATTATTTCATAAAATTGTTTTTATATCTTATTATTTTCTCATAATGCTTCTAATACATCTCTAATTTCTTACATTCAAACACCAATATCGTCATACTATCATAAGCACTTAATTTTTTCAAAATTTTAGACTTAAATTTGAGCTACATTTTCATCATCATTTTTAGCCTTAAGCTTCTATAAGGTTATAATACATTATCGTAATATTCTAATATTTATGATTCTTACTACTCAATTCAATATAATCATATAAGTCACTCATAATCAGGAGCATAATTTAAAAATCTATAGCTCATATTTTGACAATTATATATATAGATGATGCATATTGCAATTCCGGTTTCAACACGATCAAATGTCAAACCATGATAAAATATATATCAATTTACAAAATATCGATTAACATTAGAATCCATATCTAATTCCATCAATGCACAAGTTGTAAATGCTTAATTCATCTTTGAGAAACGTGAATAGCACAATTTTATAAGATTATTTGTTGAATATTTAAAATATAAGCCAAATCGAATCTGCTGTATATTACTTTAGTTTATAATTGAATGTTAAATGTGTTCATATAAATATTTGAGTCAGATATCGCATTTTCTAATTTCAAAATTTATCTCATGAAGTTAGAATTTATTTGATCATACAACATCATATTAGTCAAACTAGAGTTCAATCGCGATTCCAAAATGGAACAATTGCTTGTTTTATCAAAATGTTAAAATATTAATCTAAAAAACTTAATATCTAACCAAAACATTCTAGAAATATCATATACAGGTATATGCAATCTAAATGCACACGAAATACTGAAAATTAAAAAGAATATTTATGAGATTATTAAATCTTATGCATTTCAATGAAGAGTCGATAATTATCATCTCTATAGGTTATATATCAACATATGAGTTTTTGGATTGACCACTACTATACTAATGTGATCAAATTAATCTGATTTCTTGAATTTTCATTTGAAGCATTCGCAGTAGTAGGAGTACCTTCATATATTAACATATTAAAAAATTGCGCCCAGATTCGCAGTTTAATCATGATTTTAAGATTGCATTAGATTTCGAAATGCAGAAAAAAATCACTTTAGATTCCCTTCAAACTCTAAGCATAAGCATGTCTCTATATGAGGAAACTATTTGAGCTATTCATTTGGCGGCCCAAAAACTCATGTTGCCTGAGCGCAGAAAATACCAATTTTTGGACCCTGGGTAGGGGGTCATGCATGTTTTCTAAATGTTGGAAAAGTAGGGTAGTATGTTAATTTTTTTCGTTTTAAGTCATTACATCTGATATATAAATGAAATGTTAAAATGAAAAGAAGATGTTTATTTGTTTCGTTTACAAATCATTACATTTGATATAAAAATGAAATGTTAAAATGAAAAGAATTATAAATAACATGTTTATTTATTTCGTCTATAAATCATTACATCTGATATATTATATACATTCTTTAATGAGCTTCCTTGAGTAACATTGAAATGGAATTTCTCAACATCTGAGGCTTGGATCAGGAAATAATCAACAAATTTTAGATAATTGTTGAAACCATCAGGTTGGAAAAAGAAATCCGAAATTTGTTTTTGGTATTTTAGTTCAATTCCAAGTAATTTCATGAAATCTTGAGAACATCGAATAACTTGTCTTCCCAGCATCGTTGAAGCAACATCCAAACTGCTATTTGTTGTAAATATTATATCATTATGATTTGTTGTATTCAACAAATACGAATACAAGTCAATTTGGTTTTTAGAATAAACAGTTTCCGAAATTTTAATCATTTTAGATGTTCCAATGACTGATGAGAAGCATCCAGCACCAGCAATGAGAGTAGCAACTGCACCAATGATTCCTTTTGATTCTTCTTCGTCAAAAAAGTTTGCAAATCTGTTGAAGAAAATAAGATATGATAAAACAGCCATTGGCATGAATAATCCATAATAAGTATAGATGTTAATAGTAACGTTGTCATAAAATGACGTATTTGCAGCGAAAATAAACAAAATTAAAAGAGATTTTGTAATTCTTCCTTCAATTTGCTTAGTAAATATAACTCCGAGGACAGCAAATGGTACAAAAAAGCCTAAGGTATTGTACCAATATACACAGGATGGGAAGAAAACGCCATTAAGCGTTAAATCGTTCCATTGTGGTTTATTAATAATAGTAAATGATAATCTGGAGATATTAATAATAGACCCAGCTAAAAATGCAAGGAATGCACGCAATGGAAACTCTTTTGGCTTGAAAACAAAGTAAATTAAAAAGAATAAAAGTAATAAAAAGAAACAAGGCTTGATAGATGACGAAATAAGGAACCCTGAACAACAAAAGATTACTAGCTGTCCAATTTCGCTTGTTCTATTAAGTAAAAATGCAAAAATTAATAATGATGCAGTAGATGCATAAAGAACTGACCTGCAACTAAACAAAATACCAAGATGAGGGTGTAAATATGTTGTCTTTCCATGTGGTGCGTTATAAACATAATCTAATTCTTGGCAATTTATTTTTGACTTTTTTTCGAAGTCAAAGAACGAATAGCCAGCTAGAGAGAATACCAAAAAGGGTGCTGTAGCTAGAGCTAACTCTGGCAATCTGAATTTGAGGCCAACAAACCTCATTAAAATTGCAAAAGAATATGTCAGTAAACTCATTGGAATTATGAGAGATATTTCATTGTCCGCATGTGCAGTTCTAAGTATTGCAGAATGGAATCCTGCTATCCACCTTTCTGTTAACTTTTCTCCATAATAATTTGGATTTTTAAATGAAAAGGGATTAAATGATACAGAGTTGCATCCAACATGAAATGATGCCGTAATAGCGAGATCTTCTTGAAAGAATTGATTCATTGAAAATGGCAGCATATTTGGTTGATGAAAATATGCAAGATTGAAAATTATAAATGGTAATGCAAAGTACGGTATTGAAAATACAAAATGAATCACTTTTGTATGACGAATTATATTGATATATCTTCTTTTATCGGAAAGAACTACTAAAACTATCGACGAAACGCCAAGGATTATCGTATTTAAGAGAATGTTGAATAAATTATGGCCTATTATAATTGACATTATTAAATATGAAAATAACGAAACTGAAAATCCAATGGGAATGCCTATTCCGAAAATAGTAAATGCATCTGAGTCTATTGGGGATATGAACATACTTATTATTGTTCCGAAAGCTATTTGCGAAACAATAGAAAGTAGCCAAATCATTTTTTTAAAAAAATAGGAAATCATGAAATTTTGACAATGTAGTTTACGTGTCATAAAAATATTAAAAAAAATCATGAATTTAACTCTAACATCAACATACAATTTATTATTCATTAAAATCAATTTATTAACAAGTAGAATGATGAAATAAGAAATAGTTTCAATACAATTATAAAATTAAACAGCAAGAAGAGCTGTTTTTCCTGTCTTTTTCTTTTTCATTGATATTTGAATCACGTGGATTATGATGTTTTGACGTTCCTTTACTCTCTTTATCTGTTTTATAATGAAGAGCGGACTTTGGATTATTGTCGTTTTCATTGATATTTGCACCTTTCAAAATAAGAAATTGTTGAATTTCTTTCCTATTATTTTCTGTTGCATAATGCAGAGATGTTTTTCCATTGTTATCTTTTTCATTGATATTTGCTCCATATGAAAGAAGAAGTTCGGCTATTTCTTTATTATTTTTATCTATTGCATAATGAAGATATGTTTTTCCATTGTTATCTTTTTCATTGATATTTGCTCCATGTGAAAGAAGAAGTTCGGCTATTTCTTTATTATTTTTATCTATTGCATAATGAAGAGATGTTTTTCCATTGTTATCTTTTTCATTGATATTTGAACCATTTAAAATAAGAAGTTCTGTTGTATCTTTGCTGTTATTAATAGCTGTATAATGAAGAGCGATTTTACCATCTTTATCTTTTTCATTGATATTCGCACCAAGTGAAAGAAGAAATTCTACAATTTTATTATTATTATTTGCTGCAAAATGCAGAGCAGTTATTCCATCATCGGTTTTTTCGTTGATGTTGGCACTATGTGAAAGAAGAAGTACAGCTATTTCTTTATTATTTTTGTCTATGGTATATTGAAAAGCAGATTTTCCATTTTTGTCTTTTTCATTTATATTTGCACCATATAAAAGAAGAAGTTTGGGAATTTCTTTATTATTATTAATAGTTGAATAATGAAGAGATGTTCGCCCATCTTCTGTTTTTTCATCGATATTTGCACCATGCCAAATAAGAAGCGTGACTATTTCTTTTTTATTACAAATGGTTGCATAATGAAGAGCTGTTTTTTTGCTGTCATCTTTTTGAAAGCAGAAATTCGGCGGTTTCTTTGCTATTATTAATAGCTGCATAATGAAGAGCTGTTTTCCCATCTGCATTTTTATCAGTGATGTTTGCTCCATGTGAAAGAAGAAGGTCAGTAATTTTTTTATTATTATAAATGGCTGCAAAATGAAGAGCGGTTTTTCCATCTTTTTCTTTGTCATTGATATTTGATCCATGCAAAAGTAGAAATTCAGCGGTTTCTATACTATTATATAAAACAGCATAATGAAGAGATGTTTTTCCATTATTATCTTTTCATTGATGTTGGCTCTATGTGAAAGAAGAAGTTCAGCAGTCTTTTTATTATTTTTACGTGCTGTACAATGAAGAGCAATTTCTCCATAATAATTTTTTATTGATATTTGCACCATGTGAAAGAAGAAGTTCAGCAGTCTCTTTACTATTATAAATAGATACATAATGAGGAACAGTGGAACCCCTATTATCTGTTTCATTAACATTTGCACCATGAGAAAGAAGAAGTTCGGCAGTTTCTTGACTATTATTAATAGTTGCAGCATGAAGGGCGCTGATTCCATATATATCTTTCTCATTAACATTTGCACCATATGAAAGAAGAAGTTCGGCGATTTCTTGGCTATTGTTAATAGCTGCATAATGAAGAATGGTCTCTCCAGATATATCCTTTTCATGGATATTTGCACCATATAAAATAAGATGTTCTGCTGCATATTTACTATTATTTTGTGCTGCAACATGAAGAGATGTTACTCCATACTTATTTTTTTCATTGATATTTGCACCATGTGAAATAAGAAGTTTGACTGTTTCTAAACTATTGTACATACATGCAGGATAAAGAGGAGTGCTTCCAAATTTATCTTTTTCATGGATATTTGCACCATGTGAAATAAGAAGATTGACAGTATCTTTACTGTTATAGTATGCGGCAGTATAAAGAGGAGTGTTTCCAAATTTATCTTTTTCATTGATATTTACGCCATGTGAAATAAGAAGTTTGGCAGTATCTTTACTGTTATGAAATGCTGCAACATGAAGAGCTGTGTTTCCGTTAATATTTTTTTCATTGATATTTGTCCCATGTAAAATAAGAAAATTGGCAGTATCTTTACTGTTATGAAATGCTGCAAAATGAAGAGCTGTCCATCCTTCTTCAATTTTTTCATTGATATTTGCACCAAGTGAAAAGAAATATTTCGAAAGGGATGAAATATTTAATTTTGCACTATAAACAAAGCATCTTTTAACATCATTTGCTTGATCAAAATAAACTAATAACGATTCAAGATTATGACATTCGATGCAAGCTTCTAAATCGATCTCTAGATTGTATTCATTCATTAAGAATGTAACAAAATCAATGTTGTGTGAAATAATTGCATATTTCATGCATTTTTCATTTGGTTTTTGATATTTCAAACATTCATTGATGATTTCGGCATTTCCTCCTAAAAATGATAACTTAAGACATGTTTTAGTTATTTCTGATTCAAATATCGTTCTTAATAATTTGAAACAATCAACTGCTCCGTGATAACAACATAATTCAAGTAATGAAAATCCTTTGTTTGTTTGTGGATATAAACAACTGACAAGTTTTTGATCTTCATTAAATCCATCTCTTTCGGTGAAGTATATGAATCTTTCTTTGTCATTATTCATAATTGCTCTGTAAATTGTATCTTCTGATAGTACGTTAGGATTTATGAATTCCATTTTTTCGAATCTATCATCCTGCCATAAATTAATTCCGTATTCTTTATAAAATAGTCTGTGTGCAAAATGTGGAATTCCTTTTACCATTGTTACATGATAATTATCCGAAATTAATTTCACAAGTTTCAAGTAAGACTTTATGTAGCGATTATTAAACGGAATGAAGTTGAAAATAGTATAAATTATATTTTGAGGAAGATCTTTCATTGATTCAATAAGTTCAGTTTTGATCATTTTGTAAATATTGTGTATTTCTTCTTCGTTTTCTGTTTTTAACTGATACAATGCTTTATATGAATCGATATAGTATTTGTAGATACTTCTCAATTCATTGTATTTATTTAGATGAATATCTTTATCAGACATTAAAAAATTTGAATCTGCTATTTTTGCATTTTACCATAAAAATGACTTTAAAAATCATTACGATAAAATTCTAAGTGGAAAACAACAACCTCTTAGATTTCTGATTTAATTTATGAAGTTTGATTAAATTGGTATATATGTTATTTGTATTTTACTATAAGTGTCTTTAAAAATCATAATGAGAGGAAAAAAAGTACGACTTTGAAGATTTCCGGACTAGTGACCGCAAAGATTTCGGAAAGGAATTATGAATATTGATTTAAATGACAGATATAATATAGAATTACAATTGTTAAGTCAAAGCAATAATAAATTAAATGCGAAAATTGTTGAGATAAATTTCTACATTTTAATAGGCTTATTATCATTTGTACGCACAGTGAATTTTAATTTTGTATACTGGAGAAGACTCTGAAATATAATATTTATATAATTTTTCGTTTCAAAATAGATTTCAATCTTGATATATAATAATATTACTTATTTAAGTTTAAAGATTTTGAAATGACTTATAATCAAATAGCTCGTGAATATTAAATTGCATTAGAACTTGTGATTTAAACTTGCTTGCAGGTGTTGAATATAATTTATTCCTGTTTGATTTCCTCAAGGATGGATAAGTGGACACCCCAGCAAGCTGGAAGGCTGATGAGTGGGTGCTCTTTCTCATCAACTAGTGTCATGTGAAAGAAGTAGTTCGGCTGTTTCTTTACTATTATATTCTGCAGCAAAATGAAGAGCGGTACATCCGTTATTATCTTTTTCATTGATATTTGCGCCATGTAAAATAAGAAGTTCGGTAGTTTCTTTACTTATATTACGTGCTGTATAATGAAGAGCTATTTTTCCGTCTTCATCTTTATCATTGATATTAGCACCATGTAAAATAAGAAATTCGACTGTTTTTATACCATTATATAAAAGTGCATGATGAAGAGCTGTTTTTCCATCATTTTTCTTTTTCATTGATATTTATCCCATGTGAAATAAGAATTTCAACGACATCTTTACTATCATTTTCTGCGGCAAGATGAAGTGTGGTTTTTCCGTATTTATCTTTTTCATTGATGTTTGTACAGTGTGAAATAAGAAGTTCGGCTGTTTCTTTACTATTAAATTCTGCAGCCAAATGTAGAACGGTATATCCATTTTCATCTTTTTCATTGATATTTATGCCATATAAAATAAGAAGTTCGGTTGTTTCTTTACTATTATTACGTGCTGCATAATGAAGAGCAGTATATCCATTTTCATCTTTTTCATCGATATTAGCGCCATGTAAAATAAGAAGCTCTGCAGTTTCTTTACAATTATTTTCTGCTTCATAATGAAGAGCAGTTTTTCTATTTTCATCTTTTTCATTGATATCAGCACCATGCAAAATAAGAAGTTTGGCCATTTCTTTACTATTATTACGTGCTGCATAGTGAAGGGCGGTTTTTCCATTATAATCTTTTTTATTGATATCAGCACCATTATAAAGGAAATATTCGGAAAGGGATGAAATATTTAATTTTGCACTATAAACAAAGCATCTTTTAACATCATTTGCTTGATCAAAATAAACTAATAACGATTCAAGATTATGACATTCGATGCAAGCTTCTAAATCGATCTCTAGATTGTATTCATTCATTAAGAATGTAACAAAATCAATGTTGTGTGAAATAATTGCATATTTCATGCATTTTTCATTTGGTTTTTGATATTTCAAACATTCATTGATGATTTCGGCATTTCCTCCTAAAAATGATAACTTAAGACATGTTTTAGTTATTTCTGATTCAAATATCGTTCTTAATAATTTGAAACAATCAACTGCTCCGTGATAACAACATAATTCAAGTAATGAAAATCCTTTGTTTGTTTGTGGATATAAACAACTGACAAGTTTTTGATCTTCATCAAATTCTTCGCTTTCAATGAATACAATGAATCTTTCTTTGTCATTATTCATAATTGCTCTGTAAATTGTATTATCTGTATGAATATCCTGATTTTCTAATTTATTTTGTTCGAAATAATAATGAATATCGAAATTTTCTAAATCTGTTATTTTACAATCATCAGAGTTGTTTAAATTAATTCCGTATTCTTTATAGAATAGGATGTTAGAACTATATAAAATTCCTTTTACTTTCGTTACATGACAATCATCAATGATGATTTTCGCAAGTTTTAAGTATGACTTTGTATAGCGATTATTAAACGGAATAATATTTAAAATATCTTTAATTATATTTTGAGGAAGATATTTCATTGATTCAATTAGTTCTTTTTTGATCATTTTGTAAATCGAGTTTAATTCTTCTTCATTTTCTGCTTTTAACTGATATATTGCATTATATAAATCGATGTAGTATTTATGGATACTTCTAAGTTTGTTGTATGTATTTGGATGAAGATCTTGGTTAAACATAAAAAAATTTGAAAGCTATTAATTTACATTTTACATTTTACATTACAATTTAGAGAGGATAAAAAATGAAGCTTCACATGTGGAAATCAAAACCCTCTCAGATTTCGGATATAGTTTATGAATGTTGATTATATTAGATGTAAATTCATCAATATATTTACCAGAATTATACTTCAATGTTCTTTTGATGCCTATCTTTTTATAATTGCTTATTATATCTCATAGTATTGAAAATAAAATGAACTGCTTGAAATCGAAATTTGAATGTTATTTATTTTTGAATCATTTGATCTTTGAATTTTTGCAGAATTAAATGGATCAATCCACAGTATAAAATAATTCAAAATGATATGTGCTATTAGTTTATAAACGACTTAAAATTGTGACCGAAGTAGTAGGATATGACGGGTTTTGTGACTTTTTTTGTAAACGTAAGAATTCATACAATATCGAGCGATTTTGTATCATTTTTTAACATATTAATTTTAAAATAATTTATTTTTTATTCTTACATAAATGACCCAACAAGTAAAACCAGATAAAATAGATTATCGAATTTTAGAGGATGGTGTTCCGGTTTATATTCAAAGATTTAAAGGGAAGCAATATTATAGAATTGTTAATCCTGAATATCTTAAACATCAATTTAAAAAGGAAGACTGTGAATTATTAAACGCTAATGAATATGAAAATGCTAAATCAAAACTGAGATATAAATATATTGGAAGTGATGAAAGGTGTAAAGATAAAGATAAAGTTTATTCAGTTTCATATAATGAATGGAAAACCAATAAGATAAGAAAACATTTAGGAGATTATGGGAAATGTTCTGAATTCTTTAAATCTAGTATGTATGAGAGAGTAAAAGAAATTAGAAATAATTATTTTCATGAATGAAAGATTCACTACCATAATGAAATAAAAAAATTTTTAAAAAATAAACTTTAAAAAACTAATGATTATTTGAATTTATGAAATCAATAATTTGATTTATTCGCTCTTCAATAATTTCTATTCTTTTTGTTAAATCATCTATTTTCATTAATGAGGTGATTCTTGATTGAGGAATAGATTTCAAACTAACCACTCCTTTTATTTTTGAAATTTTGAATCCATGACCCTCTGGGTCTTGGACTCTGTCCTCAACTTTAAACATTTTATTCAATTTACACGTTGTCAATTCTTCAAATAATTTTTTATTGTTAGCATAATAGTCATTAAATTCTTCAACAGATGAAAAAATTTTTATTTCAGTGATGGGTTTTTTTTTTTGTTGAACATTTTCACTTTCTTCCTTTTCTGTTTCATTTATTTTTAAAATCGGTTTCATTTATGATTAAATAAAAATTAGAATATAAGTGATGAAATATATTTTTTAATTAATATTAAATCAGAAATGGCGGCAGGATTTCTTTAAAAAATTATGGGAAGGAATTAAGAAAGCAGCAAGATGGGTTCATCAGAAAGTAATAAAACCCATTGCAAACTTTTTGGCACCAGTAGCGAAAACGGCAGGAACTATCATAGGTGGAGTATTAGGTGCTAAAGCAGGTAATCCAGCGATGGGAGCACAAGCAGGTAACGCAGTTGGTGGAATTGCTGAAGGAATACTTAATAAAATAGGAGGAAAGTAGTGGAAAAATAAATATTATTTTTATCTCAATATCGGTTGTAGTCGACGATAAACTTTATCTCCTTTATTTAATACTTCCCTTACCGGAACATTAGGTGCTATTTGTTCTGCAACGTCACTAATTGCTTCTTTATTCTTAAATATCCAATTTGCTCCTTTCTTCATTGTTTCCCAAACTTTATGCGCTCCTCTTTTTACTTTATCCCATAACTTTTTAAAGAATCCTGCAGCCATAGTTGATTATTTCATTAAAATTAAAAATTCATTTTCATCTTTTAATTTTGATTTTTTATTTAATAATAAATGACGACTAACTATTTGGTGCCAAACACTAAACCGATTAATGGAAATGTGTTTCATTCATTCGAAAAGATAAATGAAATATTTGCAAAGAATGACGGTAGAAGATATTATAGAGAACTTGAAAGTTCATGCTATGACTCTGATGCTCCATATTTTGATGATAAACAAACTCATTTAAGAATTACAAATCCGGCTCATGATGTGAACCAATTAGGTGACACATATATTAAACGCAAAGTTAAAGCAACTCTAGTTTCAAATAAAGCTTTCACATGCGATGCCGCTTTTAAATGCATGCGTTTATTCGTTGGTTACAAATCATCAAATCAAAACTTTAAACAATTAGAAGCAGAAACTGAAAGAGGTGATGCCGGTTATCTTCAGATGGATTGCGCCCATGAATCTTTCGCATTTGCAACATATAAACCAAAATCAGAAAGGAAAGTTAAAAAGTTTGTTCATTCGTTATATAATAATGTTCAAAAATATGATAACTCAGTATGTGGTAAATATATTGACCCTTCAGAAGTTTTCAAGAAAGCAAATGAAGAAGTTGATATCATTTTTGATATGATTATTCCGATAAATGATTTGTTAGCATTTCAGGCGTTCGATGATTATCCTAAATCATTTGGTGATATCATTCTTAAATATTATGTTTTCAGGGATACTTTAGTATTTTGTCAGGTTGACCCATTAAGAGTTGCTGATTTACAAAATTATGTTTATGAAAAGATAACTGATGAAAATTATGAAAAAAGATTATGAATCATGTTTATAAATATGATCGCAAATTCCAACAAATCGGACTTCCTGCCAAATTAATTACAAGCTTAGCCACTACATCTGCTGACGCAACAGTTGAAGACGTTATTATTTCATGCACAAAGATGGAAGTTTTAGAGGATAAATGCATTACACCAGGATATGGTTTAATTGAAGAATCAATTAAAGCAATACCACGTTTATTCAGTAAGGAAGATCCATTCATGATTCCAGCTCAACATATTGACGTTCGTTCACTAAATGGAGTTGCATCACTCCTGAAGGTATCAGCTCAGATTTCTCATACGCTCTTCATAATGTTACAGATATTGTGTTAGCATTTCCGAAGAATGCAATGCAAAGAACAGTTTTAGAAAATCCAATGCTTCGAGGTCTTCAGGTCACTATAGATTCCAGAAACTTCCCCGATCAAGCGATGACCACAGTGGGTGACATATTCTTTACACGTATGCTTCAAGCTTCTGATTTAGATGGAGTGAATGAATGCACGGAAGAATACGAGGACTCATTAACTAGACCATTGAATGATGATGATGGCAAGCCATTAACTAGAACATGGAAAGACCAAACTTCATTCTTATGCACTATTCCAGTTCAACGTGATGGAGCGGGTATATTCTTTGATGGATTAGAAACTTTCAACTCACAAGTTACAGTACAAGTGAAAGCTTATCCAATAATTCAGGGTGAAAATGACACTTACTGTTCAAAGGTGACAAATCCTCCTCAGGTTTGGTTTACTAGGACTACATATTGGACATGGACACCGGATGAAGGTTTGAAATATCATCCAACAGGTACACCACCACAGTATAGAAGTTCATATGATGAAATATTGATGAATAGAAATGTTTAAAATTATAAATTTATTTTTGATTAAATGGATTTAAATTCATCCACCCCTTATGAAGAATTAGCAGGAGTATATAATACATACGTAGATGATATGATTAATGAAGCATTGAGTGATAATAGAAATGCTCTATCTAAGGAAAAATTAATGAAAATTCCATATTCTGAATGTTATTTAAATTCAATCAATGCAGCAATTGGTAAACAAAATAAAGGTAAAACATTAACGATATTAAAACAAATTATCATTATTGCTAACACTTCCCCCTATTCACATGTGTTAATTTATATCAACCGTTCAGGTTCACTTTCAGATGATACATTTGAATCTTTAAAGCATTTAATCAAAATTCCAATTATTTATTTATCACAAGAAGAAGCAGAAGATTATTTAAAAAACTTTTTAATGTATAAAGAATTATATAATACAATCAAGAAGCAAGGATTAGAGGATAAAATTATTGATAAACAACGGGATGAATTATTTGAAACACTTTCTATTTCAAATTTTGATAGAGAATTTTTGCATTCACTCATTTTTCTAGATGATGCGGTGAAATCAAAACTAATAACAAATGAGAAATCATATTTTAATCAATTATTAACTCAATGTCGACACATTCAGTGTTCATTCTTCATGGCTGTTCAATACTTTAAAGCATTAAGCACAAACATTAAATCAAATCTATCAACCCTTTTCATTTTCAGTGGGTTTAGTCGTCAACAGTTGAACGTTATGCTTTATCAAGTGAATTTACCAATGAGCATTAATGAACTTTACACACAATATCAGCAATTAGGTGAACATGGAAAGATAATAGTTGATTTAAATAAAGGTTCCATTAAATTCGAATAACTTTTTATAATTAATTTTTATTTTTTATTTATAATTAAACATGACAGAAATAGCAAATCTTCTACAGGTTCCATTAAAACAAGGAACAAACAAAAAGGGTGCATATAATAGAACTATGAAAGTTCCTGATGGAATGAAAGAATTAGTTCATATTGTTGCTGGTCTTCAAAAAGATGTTAAACAAATGAGAAACGTTTTAACATTACCAGAAGCTCAAGCATATGCCAAACGTCATGGTCCAAATTGGGAAGCACACGAAGCAGACATTACAGGTCCAAATGGAAAACCTGATGGTATAAATGAAGTTTTCGTTACTGATGGTCAAGGAAATATTAAAGTCATAAATGGTTATAAATTAACTATGTCTGATTATCCTAAACGCAAAGCATATAATGAACGTTATCCTATGCAATTTGATGAAAATGGAAAAGCTGTTAAACAATACATTGGAGAAGGTGAAAATGGTCCAATTAATTCATACCGTCGTAATCCATATTCTTATTTCAATGAAGAATTAAATGCTATTGAAGAGGGACCGGATGGATTACCACGATATGTTAATCAGTTTGA